CATCAGGAAGAGAATCTTCAAGAAGAGAATCAAACTGTAAATGCCAAAAATGGTCTCTGAAAAACTGTTGAAAGATAAAGGATAATATTAAAAACACAGATGACATACTCAAGATGGGCAATGCCTCAAATACATGAGCATGCAAATAGAATTATGGGGGTTTTTTGCATCCATGAACACATGCAGCTGTACAGCTACAGCAAAACTGTGCCTGTGTAGCACTACATGTAGTAGCACCCTGTGCTAAGACTATTACTTCATGCCGGTTCATTTTTTCTAGCTTTTACCCTCTATATTTCAGGCAATACTTCCTAGCAATTATGAAGGGGTTTGTCAAATTTTAAGCAGGCCTTGCCACAGGGCAGAATTCAGGGCTCTGATGTTGATAATTTGATAATAAATATTCATGTTCTGTTCTCAAAAAATAATTATTGTACTCTGAACTATAAATTTATAAAGACAGTTTATAACAAACAAACTATAAACTATGGAGCCTATTTTAAAAAATACTTATGCTTTTCTTCATCCAGGATCAAAAACCCTCTCTACCAGTTTCTTCAGACTTTAAAATCAGAGAAGTGAAACCTGTATCATGCATCTGGTAATAAATTTACATAGCAACTGACCTGCCAGCTACGTTGACAATAATTTCATAGTAAATGTTAACACTTGAAGTTTCTTTTCCATACTCATTTGATCAAGAATTTCCTTTATTTTAATGGAGGTTGAGAAACTGTACATCAAAAGAAATTATATTATTATTGCTGATTTTAGGTGGACTACCTGTAATTTTTAATTAATTGCATGATGATAAGCAATTGTATAATTTTATAAGAGTAGAATATGCAATTTCATGTGGCAACCTTAGAGACTGTATTTCAGATGCGGTAATTTCAAGTTCACATTCTGGAAAAATCAAAAATATCTTCTTTTATTCAGTGCTTTACAGTTTCCCAGCTTAACTTCTGTTAAGCACATGGACTTCCTCAAGATAATAAAGAAAATAATACTGCTATACTGACACATTAAGAATATTCCTTCTGCAAAGAAATCTGCCTACAGTGGTAACCTTAAACACCACCTTTACACAGACTTCTCTGTGCTGCTAAAAGCTATTCATTCAGGGCTCTGGACAAATATGTGCTAGTCCACGTCACTGGGTATGTAAAAAACTAAGCCTGGATTTAAAAAGAAATTCAGTTTCTAAGCTTTTTCTCAGGACCACAGGAAAACCCAGGCTGGAAGGAACCTCAGGATGTCTTCAATTCAATCTCCTGCTCAAAGCAGGGTAGGCTGTGAGCTCAGACCAGGTTTTTAAGGCTTGATCCAGCTGGGTCTTGAGAGCTCCCAAGGATGGAAACTGCAGTCTCTCTTGGTAACCCACTTCCCAACTGTGCTTGTGGAGACAATTCTTCCTTATACCCCACGTGAACTTTTTTTATTTCAGTTAATGGCATCATCTCTTGCCCTCCTGTCATACAGCACTGCTGAGCCTGGCCCCACCTCCATCATCTTCCTCTAGACTGTGGAAGGCTGCTACTATACCACTCCAGAGACTTCTCCAGACTGAACACACTCTGTTCTTTCAAACTCTCTATGTCAAAGGTTTAAAAAACCTTCTTTCTCAGTAAAAGTAATTCAAATTCTAACATTTATTACAGAGGTGATGACTCTTAACACAACAGTCTAAATGAAATTAAACAAGTGGACATTATTTGTGTGGCAGTGACATCTCTGAATCCTAGTAAAAATTATTCCAGTCAGAACCTCATGGAATTAAACCCTATTTGTATATCAGGAAAAACAATTTTCTGTGCTTACTAGAAATGTTTTTTATCAATATTGTGTGTGATATGCTCTAATAGGTACACTGAATTAGCAGTAGCTGAGTACTGGCTGAGAAGTTATATGCTGTGCTTCATTAATGCTTCAAGTATATTCTAAAATAAAACTCAAAACACACTGCAGACCTCAAAGGAAGAAGTAAATGAGTAACTCTGCTGGAATGGTATTAATGAGATTAGTTTGCAAAACTAGTACTAAACTATGGGCCAAGATGCACAAAAAAACCCAGACGGGTAAAACTTATTGATCATTTTTAAAGATAGTTTCAACTATTCCCACTTAAGTTTTGAGTCCTCTAATGTACACACCAAAGGGTGCTTTCCATAAGTGCAACACTGGATTTTCCTCTGCCACAGCATATGGTAATACTTCCTAAATTGCCCTTCTGCAACAGGTGCTCTATTTTATGATGTAATTTTACCTGGACCTTTAATGTGTAAAGCCATAAAAAAATGAGGTTGTTTCCAAGGCAAATGGGGTCACCCATTGACTTCATCCTGTGTTAAAATGGGAGGCATCAAGGTGCAAACACCGAAGTGACTACAAACATGACATATTAGAGTCACATACTGCTTGGATTTATGCTCAACTACCACTAAAGCCAGGCTTTTAAGATGAAGTTTGGGCATGCAATCTCTCCACAGCAGCCATCATTTCATGTGGGTAGCCAAAATTGATTATCAAAAGCCACAATCAGTGCCGAGTGCCTTGAGCTGCTTCTCTGAGATGTGCTTACCCAGCAGCACCAAGAACATGATGTGTCATCACTGTGACAAGAAGAACGTGCCAGTCCCCACATCTGTGCCCTGAGAAGGCTGATTGTGCAAATTTTACAGAGAGAATTTACAGTTTGTCTCCTTCATTCTGACACTGAAGGTCCTGCCCTCAAACCTACTAATAATTTTCAGCACTATACATTCAGCTATGATTATTCATCTAAGAAAATGGCATAACACAGGGAAGCAATGAAAATGTCTGTTCCAATTCTTTACCATGCCCACGTCTTATAATATGTTTTTAAATGCCTGAATAAATGCAGAGCACCTGAGTGTTTACACAGTTAATACACTGATTCACCTCCTTTCCTAATATTATCCTCCTAAGGAAAAATTAATGACTAATGAAATTCACCTGAAAATTTTTCATATATCTAATTAAACAAAGGATACGGCCTATGGACTATTTTAACAAGATTTCAGTTGTGTTAAAGCTATCTCATGACTTCACAATCTTCTCTTTTACCTATGGCTTTGCAGTGTATTTCAATGCTCAATTTCCATGGGGAAAAAATCAGCATATCCACTGATCGCACACAAGTGCTAGGCCTGTAAGTAACAATCAGTGCATTAGGTGCACAAGGCAGAGACTGCAGAAACTGGAGGCATGATTAATTTCTTACACATTACTCTGAGCAGGACCGAAAGGGAGGGCTGTGGTTGAGCTGGAAATAGTTCAAGGAAAAATGGAGGGTTGTGAAACACAGAAAATCATTAAGGTAAAGATGAAGGAACCGGGTTATTTATAAATGTATCAGGTTTTAGGTAAGTATGGTGATAATCAAACTGTAATTTTCTGTTCCTTTGATAAATGCTCTACAAACACACAGTGACAGCCAGATCCCTGGAGAGTTGACAGTCTGAACAGTTGAGGCAAATAAAGGTTAAAGGGCTCAGAGAGCACTGACTTGCCCAAGGCTACATCACTTCCAATTGGCCAGAATGTCCTTTTTCTGCTGTAGTTACTGCTATAGCAAAGACAAGGAAAAAGACAAAGTGAAGGTTGGGTTTATGCAAGTGAGAAGAATCTAATGAGATGTCAGTGCTGCTTTGAGCAGACAGGTTGGTAGGTCCATGGTTTCCCCGTTACCTGTTTTTTTGTAAGGCCATGCCAGAGCATTCCTGACAGGTGCTGGAGGACACTCTGGAAAGCAGAGGAGAGATTAAATGCCCTCTCTCCTTGACACTCAACAGGTACATCAGAAGTGATACAAAACACGAGTCTGCCCCTTCCTTGAGATGCTCCATTCTGTCTCCGAGCACTGGGGCTAGGGGAGCTCTTGGGTATTTTCCCTGAGTAGTTTCAGACCAGTTTCCTGCCATGGCTCCTCTGCCCCCCTCCAGCTGCAGGGAGGGCAAACAGGGCTAAGACAGCATCCCAAAGCTCCTCCACCCTAGCCCTGCCACCAGGAGTGGCAACTGCAGCACTGCCGGAGGCACACAGGGACAGCACCGCTGGCTGTGAGCAGCACTTGCCACCAGCAGCGGAGAGGGGCTGGGGAGACGCCTCCCAGTCCCCTGTTGTACCCACACCCCATCTGCTGAGGTGACCCCAGGAAAGCAAATAACTTCAGCCGCGGGTTTCCTCAGCTGTTCAGCTCCCGGCCAGCCCAGCAGACCTGCCTCCAACCCGAGCACTACGGCAGCGGCTCCACTGGGTGGATCTGGCTGCGATGCTCCCTTGGTCTAGCTGAAAAGCACCAGTGCTAACTCCATGCCCTATGCCTTGACCGGGAAGACTTGTTTTTAATCCTCAGATCAGGTCACTAAGCTGAAGAACATAAACATGACATTTATAAAAGGACAGTGCCCACACATGCTCATCTGCCACGTTAGTGTTTGCTACCGAAAACTCCTCTTCCATGATTCAGAGTTATTTCGGAAATTACTCAGAACCTCTGAGTAACAGGATTTTACCCATAGTCTATTTTAGTACAAGGGCAGATATAAGAGCTTTAACAAACTCAAAGGCACAAAAAGGCTTGATGTCTGTCAGGAGACCGTAACCTTTGCAGGCTTTTGGTTTGGTTGGTTATCGTTAGCTTTGTTTGGGTTTTTTTTTAATCACTGGGAATCACATAAACAAGAAATTCACCCCAAAGGAAATTATACACCTTCCCTTCCCCTTCATTATTTCTTTTCCACAGAATCACTTTTTTTTCCACACATGCTGTCTGCAATGAAAGAGATAAAACCACACACACAGTCTGCCTCCGAATCTCAAACAATAAACCCGCCAGGGACAGAAATCCCCTTCGCAAAGCACAAACAAATCGGGGCGCTAAAATCCGCCGCCTAGCCGAGGAGAAGCCCCGCTGCTGCTCCGCACCGCCGGAAGGATGGACGGGCGGCTTTGGGCAGGAAACCCGCTCCGCTTACCTTGATCATGCTGGCAGGAGGGGCAGATGTTCCTGCCGGGCTCCGGGCGGGAGGATCGCCGAGCCCCGGGGGCGGATAGAGCGGCGCTGTGCGGGACCGGGGCCGGCCGGGGCTGGGGCTGCCGGTGCCGGGACTGCTGCTCGCCGCTGCCAGGCTCCGATTGCATCAGCGGGTGAGGGCGGCGCGCTCGGCGGGCGCCCGGGGAGCTCGGCGAGCAGCCGGGGCCGCCCCGCCCCGCCGCTCCTGCGGCGCGCACACCACCCCCGGGCACCCACACCTCCCTCCCCCTGGCACCCAACCACCTCCCGGGCATCCACACCTCCCTCCCCCTGGCACCCAACCACCTCCCGGGCA